GTGTGTGTGTGTATGTATTGAGCATTCATTATACATTATATATGTACAGGAAGGTAATTCTGAGATAACGCCTAACCGTTCATCCCACACACATATATTATCCGCTGTATACTCTATTGATATACTCATATCTATAAAAGTTTCGCTACATCAATGAATCGTTTTTCGACACACACATGTGTATTCTTACACGCATGTCTAAAGGTTTGATCAGTTTATGTTTCTTGCCTATAAACTCAGAAGTACATTATACTGCTATTGAAGCTCGCATTATTCGAATGTCTTGTATCGCACATGCACACTTTCCCATCCGTGCTTGAAGACATATATAAATGTGACTATACACACGTACGCGGTCGAATTTGCGCATTTGCACATGTTATTTTCCGCCACAAATTAATAATATCTAACTACGGCCACGCCAGATGCAAGCATATTCTCACCAATAGACACATACACGCACACAATGTACGCCTACCGGCACTATTCCAGACGCCTAAACAACGTAACATGCACAAGGTACAAGCACACACAGCAATATGCAGCAACATACACGAACGGATATAGTATGGCCACATCGATCTACCTCTACGCACGAACATTTATACACATCTATAGCTATATACATAGCGGGAACGCGCATATACAGACATCACACATCAACACACACGGACGTACACACAGCATGAGTCTAGTAGTCGATGTGTGCATGCAGTAGATACACTAGTCTATGGATTATGCAGATGTGTAGTTAGACAGCGACAACGGTATGGGAAACTACAGTGCGCTCCAAGATGTGTGGACATAAAACGGATGAAGTAATCGCAGGGCGAATATATCTCTCATGCACATACACAAGCACATACGCAAGTACATACACACGCATACACACACACATACACACACACACGCACACATGCACACACATACATGTACACACACATACACACACACATACACACACACGCATACACACACACATACACACACACGCATACACACACACATACACACACACGCATACACACACACATACTCACACATACTCGCACACACATATATACACATACACATACACATACATACACGCACATAAACACACATACACACATATACACATACACGCATACATACACACACATATATATATATATATATATACATATACGCACACATTCTCACACACATATACACTCACACATACACACACATACACATACGCACACATACGCACACACATACACACACACACATACACAACGGCGTGTACTGATGTGGGAACTTAAAATACAACACGCGTACACACATACGTACACACAGACGTATCTTAGCGTTACATCTATGTAGCACCGCTACCACGTGCTCTAGAACGTTTGTGTTCGTTGACATCAACCGAATGCCTGTAGGTAAATAAACGCAATCATATATATGCATGCACACAAACACGCCGATGTACTGTATAAAATAACACTATAACTGTGTTATGGACAGCTGCAACGTTCTCGAGACTTGTAGAGTTAGCAGTAGGACTCGGGCAATTGAAATCTGAAATTTAATACACGTGCATGGGAATAGTCACTACAATAGTTCTAAGGATGTCTAATCCGTTCTTTAGAACGTACGGATATTTGTGTACGATCTGCGAGTGTAACATAGTATACCATACACGGGCATACGTACGTACGTACGTACACAGAGATCTAAATAATCGCTTTTATTATTTGTATGTTATCTTATACCGCCACAAACGCTCATAAATTTATACATACATACTTGCACACATACATACTCAGAAATATGCTCGATTTGATATCTCGAAAAATGTGCTACGACCAACGATTTCTAGAACCTATAGATACTCCCATGATTTCGTGAGAAAGTATAACACAAATACAATACACGCACATACATACATTCATTCATACCTTCAATCACAGATTAAGAAACAGTTAGCAAAAAAGTTAGAATCAATGCTCTGCTAGATACAACGTCTCGTCAGAACCTATAGACACTCATATGACTCAAGCAATCGGTGTCAGATATACTACATGCACGCATGCACACTGAACGGATGATTAAGTGAATACCGAACATCCTAACGCCACGGCAGTGCTATGGACAGCTACAAGACGCTGTGAATGCTGCGACCGTTGATAGTACCGTACTGCTGTGGGAGGATGTGGTGGTCATGGGTTCTGTGGTGTCAGGCCTGGTAGACCAGTCGCTCAGGTATGGCCTTGGGATAGTGAGGGGTGACTCACGGGGAATGTTAGGGAGTTATCCAGGATGTCGTGTGGCTGTAGTATATCTATTGGGGTCAGTCCACCTGTGCCGTATTAAGGCGTTGTCTGTGTCTATTTATAAATATTGCTCTGCTACTCCCGAAAGTGTTGTTAGTATCGTCGGGCGCAGGGAGTTATTCCAGATGGCGTGTGGTTGTGATACACGCATTAGGGACAAGCCACCTGTGCCTTGTACGGATGTGCTCTATATATATTAATAGAATACGAATGTGCTCTATATCTACTAATAGAATACGGATATGCTCTATATCTACTAATAGAATACGGATGTGCTCTATATCTACTAATAGAATACGGATGTGCTCTATATCTACTAATAGAATACGGATGTGCTCTATATCTACTAATAGAATACGAATGTGCTCTATATCGACTAATAGAATGCGGATGTGCTCTATATCTACTAATAGAATACGGATGTGCTCTATATCTACTAATAGAATACGGATGTGTCTATATCTACTAATAGTCTATCGATCAATAGAATACGAATGTGCTCTATATCTATTAAAAGAATGCACTCTGTTGTCCCATAAACAACGTTAGTATGGTTGTTTGCAGGAGGTATCTCAGTGGGGCGTGACGCTTCAATACATCTACTGCGTTTGTACAGATTTTACTCTTCTACTCCCAAAGGTGCTGTTCTCTGGTTTGGCGTGTGACTTCAATATATCCCTTGTTGTTCTATTAATAGATTTTGCTCCTCTACTCCCACTTCTACTCCCAGAAGTGCTGTTCCCATCGTCGGGTGCGGGGAATCCTTCGTGTGGCGTGTGACTTCAATATATCCCTTGTTGTTCTATTAATAGATTTTACTCTTCTACTCCCACTTCTACTCCCAGAAGTGCTGTTCCCATCGTCGGGTGCGGGGAATCCTTCGTGTGGCGTGTGACTTCAATATATCCCTTTTTGTTTTATTAATAGATTTTACTCATTTTACTTCCGACAGTACCGTCAGTATCGTCGGGTGCAGAGAAAACCTTAGTGTGACGTGTGGCTTCAACACATCTACTGCTCTGAAGCTGCCTTTACTGTACGCAGATGTGCTTTATGGAGCTTCGCTTCTTAATAGCATCAGTTTGGAGAATTTTGCTGTTCGGAATTGCTCAAGTGAGTCCATCGGAGATCTGTGATCACGACTTCAGTGTGTTTGGACCATTCCAATGTAGTTACAGACTTGTGTATGCGAATAAGTATCGGAAGATAAGACGTATGTGTAGAAGGAGATATCTTACAGACTTCTCCATGTATAGAAGGATAATTGGATCCACCGACGCTCACTAGTATACCTTATGTAGACAGTTGGACAGATGTGGCTGTGTATAGGTATGTGAAATATATCATTCCGTCGCAAATGTACGCACGGATATGTGTCGACGATTCTTCTTGCGCGTAGAGTGGAATCGATTACACCAATGCGTGCGCATGTATCTGCCATGGAACTTTAATCACGTTAGTGCATGTATCATAACTAGGTAGAGATGAGGTATATTTATCTATATATAGACTATATATTTATATATATGTATGTGTGTGTGTGTGCCTGTGTCTGTGTCTGTGTCTGTGTCTGTGTCTGTACATATAATACATGTATTTATAATATATATATATATATATATATACTTAAACATATTTATATATATATATATTTATAAATATACATATACGTATATATATATAATATATATAATATATATATGTATCTATGTATGTATGTATAGGGATGTGTATGTTTGTATGTACTGTCTATTCTTTCATATACGTTAAAATTGTAGCATATCTTTGTAGAAATATATGCTATAATTCATTTCGTCCGTTGGTTTTTTTTTTTGTTGTCGTTATCTAGAATTTGTATTTATATGCTGTGCTTGCATTCATTTTGAATGAGGAAGACCTTATTTCAGAATTTCATACTACTTGCCGGCTATGCAAAATTCAATTCAACCAAATACTCTTCGAAGTGTTCGGAACTTAGGACCCTAAAACAATATACACCGCCAATAACCCCACAAATTGGATATAATCCGTCCTTTACTTTCCTGATTTTTTATGTTTTCTCAATGCGCAGAACATGCGGTTGAACTGGATGCGTATAATGTGGTTTTGCGAAAGATGAAATTTGACCGCAACGGATATGGCAACAGATTCACTGAGGTATATGCACACCCAAAACCATTCATATTGTTTGTGCATGTACTCATTGACAAGCATTCTCGGTGTGTTCGGGTGCTTCCAGATATATATTCAGATATATATATTTATATCTATATATCTATATATCTATCTATATCTATATCTATATCTATATAGATATATAGATATGTGTATATATGTA